TACAAGTTGATTGAAGTATGTCTCTGCAACTTCCTCTGCACTCAGCCCTTGCTTCTCGGCAACAAAGCATTCTGATATCCACCGCCGGGTGAGACGCTTCTTACTAATTTTTGAGCCCTTGGGGAATATGCTTAAGTACAATGAGCAGGTCTTGAGATCTGCTGGAAAATCATTGTAGCAGTAATCAAGTATCCTTGTGACCCCCTCCAATGTAAGGGGAGCCACTTGCTCTGGAAATAATGACTTGCAAACTTTACTCCAATGATCACTTTGTTTTTGGGGGTTGCAGGCCACAAGGCCAGCCATGGTGACTATGGCCAAAGGAAGCCCCCCACAATATTTCCATATATCCATATGGACCTCTTCTTTCTCCCCAACCTTGCTGCTTTGAACATGAGCTGAAGGCTGATGATCAGTTCCATCTCCTTCGGAGAACTCGGTAGAAACACTAGGAACATCGGCTTGAGATCTTGTATCCATTCTTTCACTTTCTTTGCTGCTTGGGGATTCAGAAACACTCTGATAAAATAGGCTTTTGGAGTCGGCATCACTTAGAACATTAACTGTATGAACATAATAAGTTCCATCTCTTTCTGAGCACGCTGCACCAACAGCTTGAAATCTTGTAGTTACTATTACTCTACTGTCCTTTGTATTATCATGTGGCAACCAATTTCTAATGGTCTCCCATGTTTCTACGGACCATATATCATCAATCAAGAGGAGGTACCTGCCAAGAAAAAGGTAACAAAATACAAGTGAGAAGAAATGTGCTAGCTTATTTAAATTCATACCACAGAGAAAAACTAATCCTCTGAAGAGTCCAAGATTAACCCGATAAGCATTCAAATTCAACAAGTTTTACCCGATCTATGTCCAAATTCTCATATTTTTATGAATTGGATGTATATAGTTATCTGTTTTTGCTTCTAGATTGTAGGTCCAGTTTTAGCATGTTACCTGCTGACATGTTACAAATGATCTATAACAATTTGTTTATA